GTGTGTGTGTGTGTCTGTAAACACAAACATCAAATAAGGATGTATAGCTCAGATTGACTCTTGAGACATGACTAAACACATAACAGTCCTTCGTGGGGTCTTTCCATGCACAAGCATCTTCCAGTTAAAATGTGCTGTGCCTCACTGGGCTACCTGAGTTAAGACAAGAGTAACACACATGCTTGCAGTTGAAGAAAATGACTTTTTTTGTCTTCTAGCCCAGAACACTGTGCTAGAGCTTTTGGCTTCCTGTTTGGTAGGACAATCCAATGCTTCAAAAGAGGGTCATGGCCCTTGGGTAGCCAGTCTGCTCACGCCTGGACCCTAGACTGAGGCCTCTAGGAACCTGGTGTCCATGCCTGCCAGCCTGTGTAGTGAAGAAGTGAAGCCTTTCAGTGAGGATGCCTGCTTGAAGTTCCCATTGGTGGATTCATGTGGGATACTTGGAATCAGGCTTTGCCCTTGGCCTCCTCAGGCACTCCAGAGCTGAGTCACATAGGCAATCACTAACTTGCAAGCAGATGATGTTCACTAAGTTTGTTTGGATTTGGTTTGAGGAATTCAGAATGCACTTTCCCTCAGTCCTTCCCTGGAAGTAGATTCCCAGGATAGCCCTTTTATGGTCTGAACACTTTTTCTCACCTCCCACAATTCATCTGCTGGAGTCTAACCCCAAAGTAGTGGTATTAGGAGCTGGGGCCTTTGGGAAGCAATACAGTGAGGGTGGAGCCCTTATAAATAGAAATGAATAGATAAAGGCACTTATGAAAGGGAGCTCTGCTTCGCCTTCTACTGTGTGAAGACCCATGAGAGGTGCCATCCGTGAACCAGGAAGCAGGACTTTGTCAGACAATCAGATTTCCTGGTGTCTTGATCTTGGACTTTGTAGCCTCTAGAACTGTGAGAAATAAATTCCTGTTCTTTCTAAGCCACTTGGTATATGACATTTTGTTATAGCAGCCTACATGGACTATGAAATCATCTATTCATAGGCTGTGACTATACAGGTCCATAGTTTTTCTGGGAGAAAGGGCCAATGGGACTTGGCAACATTTCTCTTCTCTTTCCTGGCAGAAAGTAGAGGCTAAAGCACTGTGACCTGGGGGCAACTAGTAGCCAATGAACTAATCTTTCCACTCAGGGTCAACCCTTCAGGCCAAATGCAGGGACAGACAGAGGGGTTGCCATCTCCTAGGCCAAGCCCCAGAGACAAGGGCCATTTCTCTGTCTGTGATTTCCTTCTGCCTGTTTTTCCTGACAGGGAACACACTGGCTCCACAGAAAGGGGATCTCCCCCTGCTTTCCATTTCCTTCCAGTTCAGGGGGAAGCCTGGATTCATCCCTTTGCTGCCTGGACACCCACAAGAAGGTGGCAAGCATGGTGAGGGGTTGGTCTGTGTGGCTAACTGGTAGCTAGGCAAGGTTTCTGCCCTGGTGACAGGATGTTCCATATAGAAAATGAGTCATCCAACTGATGGCCTCTGGGCACCCAGCAGCACCTATTCTGTGGAAGGCTCCTGTGAGCA